TAGGTGACAGAAAATACAGAGAAAATGCTACCCAGATAAAACTCGAACTGAAACTTGATACTCATTTCAGTTTTAAAAATCGTTGGGCCTACTTATGATTTCACACACTGATCCTAATGTATGGTGCAAAAGTGTCTTAAATCAGTGTGACCTGTGTGAGTGATGACCCCAGTCTAGTGTCTGAGGACTCAGCAGCAGATGTTGAAAAATACTTTTTAGACAGACAACTGCCAACACTTACTTTTCCACATTGTTATAAGACTGTTTCTTTGAAGGGTTACACAGGACTGCAACATGGTCACCCATCTCATCTGAGTTCAGTTTGCACAAGTGGCATGAAGGAGGGTTCAAATGGCCACAGTTACCCACAAAGACACCAAGCAATAAACAAGTTCCATCTAATTGCACTGCAGGCAAAACAACAGAGGTTATGCACTGACATCATTGTATTTGAAAAATGCCCAACTTTCTGACAGAGTGGCAGAACTATGAACACTTGGGCAGAATAACAGACAAAATGTGTTTCTTTGTTTTCGTTGACTCATTTTTTTGTCCATGGAGATTTACGTCAAAATGGAAACTGAAAGTAGTTCCATTGTTGTGCAGGGCTTAGCTAACTTATTAGCGCACGAGGGGGAGATAAAGGACACTTCAACCTCGCCCCATAATAATAAATATCCTCAACACACGAACCCAGGAACATGTTGTTTAAGAGAGAAAGGTTCAGTTCAACTGTGTGTGATCCCATAGGCTGTATCAGTGATAAATGTGAGTGTGTCCTGCGCTGTTCCTGTTGTTTCACTCTTAACTGGTTTTCTACTACTGTTCCAATTTATTTTGTTTTGCTTTAGATGTCAAGTACAAACTAAGCATTTAGCAGACACTTTTATAAGTGTTACTAAGATGTAGCAGCTCTTTATATGTGCTTTGAGCCTTTATAGAAGAAAATGTCATTATTCACCATTGACACTCATGTAATGTTCTAAGAATTTGAAAGTCATAATATTATCTTAGCGTGACCAGAATTTCCAAATAAAAAACTGGGACATCCCTGTTTTTTGGTGGTTGGTAATAACCAACAAACAAACAATAAAATTGTGAAACGAGTACGTAATGAAGGAAAATTGTTGAGCAGAAACCGTTCATGACTAACATGTGAGTCAGTATAGTTAACATTTTCTTTGTGTTTTGGTCATTTTTAGGCAGCTTTCTTGTATTTTACTGTAACAAATTGAAATTTATGCTTATCTTTATTGGTCAAAAATAGACACCTGGGGCATTTCTTATATAAAACTGGGACAAATCACTGGTTTTGGATAAATCTGCTGAGACAGGGACATATGGCTCAAAACTGGGACTGTTTCGGGTAAAAAGGGACGTCTAGTCATCCTGTGTTATCTGCATAACCTCTATGTCAAACACATTTGGCCCTCGATATAATTATATTTGGCCAGCGAGATCATATCAAATATATATTAGAGCTGGCCCGCCGGCTACAGATAGGCTATAGAGACATTATTTATTTAAAATTTAGTTATTATTTTATATTATTCTTGTTCTGGATTCAATGTTTAAGCAAAACTATTATTAAACATTTATTTTGATAAGAAAAGGTTTAATATTACATATCTCGAAAGAAGAGAAAACATGCAGATGTTGTTGAAATTTTTCAATAAATATTTAGTTTGGCTCAAGACTTGGTCCCAGTTTGTAATTTTGGCCTCTGTGAATTTGAGTTTGACACCCTGCTCTATAACCTCAGCACCAAAAACATGACATTGTGTGCATCTGTAAGCTTTCATTGGCCAAATATAAAATCTAAATTACGTTCAAAGTTCGTGGCAGCTAAATATGTGATACATGTGAATGGACTGTCTGGTTATGATTTACTCTAGCTTTTACCTGAGTTTGCATTCACTCCGACTATCTTTGGCAGCTCTAAACTTTAAGAGCAGGTTTAAGAAAACCTTTGGCCCTCTATCAGTGAAACAACCCCATCATTTCACCCTCTGCTCCTGGTGGAACGGCCTGCTGGGTAAGCCCTGTCTGCAGCCTTCATGATAGCTAGCTAATTACACTGATACTATTTATGTTGGACACCCAGAACATGGACGTACATCTATTTCCAGAGTCTTAGAAGCAACCGTTTTGGAGATTGAAGTCTGGGTGAGTTTTCTTTAGGTTCACAGTGGGGATTGGATTTTTATGGAGCGCGACGCTAGCATGCTTTCTTTGCGGTGATAAATAGGGACTTTGAAGTACTGTTTCCACTACAACTCAAAGCTACGAGCAGTAATTTACCCCCGGGATGGTGATTTAGGGGAGATTGGCTAATGCAGAGAAGACTGAGTAAACCTGCTAGCGTGCTACGTTACAAGAGCTTTGGAATTATGGGATATCTCAGCCATCGGCGCTGTCTGTATTCGAAGTGATCCATGCGTTGCTAAAATCCCACATAAAGGTCTGGCCAAGAACAGCAGATTACTCAATAGGGCTTAGGAATCATATAGCCAAGAGCCTACGAGACAGTCTGATCTTTCTGTAAGGCAAATCTCATTCACCAAATTGTATTATTTATTTAACAACATGTTAACAGCCACTCTGCGCTGCCGGACTTGGAGAAATCCTTTGGGTCTGGACTTCCTTTTTTCCTTTTTCATTTTGCAATGAATATGAACAAGGACTGACCCAATAATGAAGAAAATAGTGCACAGTGAGGCCTGTCCACACAGCGCACCAGATTCTAAAATATGTAGAATTTGTTTGAATAGCATTTGGTTGGGGAGTACAGGTTAACTCAGGCCAGAACCAAGCATGTTCCTACAATGAGATTTATTTATTTCAGTGAAATATGTGAAACAAACGAGCTCATTTGTCACCTGTAATTTACAAACAAAATTACATATTTCTAACCTCAGATTAACAGTTTGGTGATACACTCTATAATTCTGCAGTGTTTTCCAGTCCCTTGTGAAATTTTGTCCTTTCTTATTTCCTCAAAATCAGTCATATTTGTTTTGATATGCACAGACCAAGCATGTCCCTAATCTACCCGTCAACCAAACCCATCTGAACTCGAGGAGATTCACCGGTGACCAGTCAAATCTGTATCAAAGTACTGAAGAAGTGTGTAAGAATAAAATGTAAAATATTGTTTAATATCACAAAATACTCCTTGTGATGTCATGTGGTAATACAGAAAGTGCTCCACTGTGTTTTTAAACTCCATACACCTTCACTAGAATCATTTGGATAATTTCTGCCCTGGAATTTCCAGTCTTTACTGAACAAAAGGTAAAAGGAGCTGACAAGTGAACTTGAAAACTACTACTTCATGACATCACAAGATGAAACAGAGCAGTTTGAGCTTGACTAATAATAAAGGATTATTCAAGTATGTGTGAATGGATTAAATCACAACTCTGGTATGTTTTTGAGGAGGTAACAACATTCTAACATGGTTTGAAGCTCATAAGGGTTTTAAACTTTTAAGTACTTCTACAGTTTGTCATGTCCAATATCGGCTGTGCCTTTGTAAATTTCATGACAAAAGTTTTGATATTTGGAAATTAAATTAAAATAGTTGTTTATGTGTGTGTTTTTGTTTTGTTGGTCAAATTCATTTCTATGGTTTTCACTTTTAACCCAAAGTGTGGCAGATTTGAGCGATGATGATGACGTCTTTCATTTTGCACATCTAGTCAGGGATTATTTTTCATTCATTTCAATCTATATATAGTACATAGAGAAGAATATGAAAACAAAGGGCAAACTCGATTCATGCACTTTGAATGTACATTTATAGGATTACTCAAAAGGGAGTGGGATGAAGTAATACTTATGTTATCCCAGCCCTGTCTTGTGCATGACAGGACTTTACCATGTGGCTTGCCAAGCTCCACAGACCAAAACTGAGTGAAGAGTGAATATGAACTCAATTTATACAACGGCTTAGGATTTGATGGAGGAGTAATGAAAAAAATGTGAAAAAAAAAACTGTGACAAGTACTGTAAGTCTACATCATAGAACTCACACCAAGCAACAGAAATAGTAGTAGTAGTAGTAGCAATAGTAGTAGAAGTAGCAGGAGTAGTAGCAACAGTAGTAATAGTAGCAATACTAGTAGTAAGAGTAGTAGAAGCAGTAGTAGTAGTAGTAGTAGTAGTAGTAGTAGTAGTAGTAGTAGTAGTAGTAGTAGAAGCAGTAGGAGTAGTGGTAGCAGCAGTAATGGTAATAGCAGTCATAGCAGTAGTAGTAATCATAGTAGAAGTAGTAATAGTAGTAGCAGCAGCAGTAGTAGTAGCAGCAGTGGTAGTAGTTGCAGTAGTAGTACACGCAGTAGTAGTAGTAATAGCAGTGGTAGTAGCAGTAGTAGGAGCCTATTAGCAGTAGTAGTAGCAGTGTAGGAGCGGTAGTAGTAAAAGTAGTAGTATAAGAAGTAAAATAGTAGTGGGATTAATAGCAACAGCAGCAGTAGTAGTAGTAGTAAATGTAGTAATAGTATAGTAGTAGTAATAGCAGTGGTAGTAGCAGTAGTAGTAGCAGCCTATTAGTAGTAGTAGTAGCAGCCTATTAGCAGTGGTAGTAGTAATAGTAGTGTGGAAGGGGTAGTAGTAAAAGTAGTAGTAGTATAAGAAGTAAAATAGTAGTAGTATTAATAGCAGCAGCAGCAGCAGTAGTAGTAGTAAATGTAGTAATAGTATAGTAGTAGTAATAGCAGTGGTAGTAGCAGTAGTAGTAGCCTAAAAGCAGTAGTAGTAGTAGTAATAGCAGTGTAGTAAGGGTAGTAGTAAAAGTAATAGTAGCATAAGAAGTAAAATAGTAGTGTAGCAGATGTAGTAGTAGTAGTACAAGAAGTAAAATAGTAGTAGTATTAGCAATAGTCGTAGCAGTAGCAATAGTAGTAATAGTAACAGTAGTAGCAGCAGTAGTAGTAAAAGTAACAGTAGTAGCAGCAGTAGTAGTAGTAGTAATTGTAGTAATACTGTTTAGTTCTTACCTTTATAGCTCAGTTTGACTCGGGGGACACTCTGCTTGTAGCTCGTCCCTGCAGATAAAACCGTCCATTCTGTCACTCCAATGATCACCAGCAGCACATGTCCCAACCCTGTCCTCCGTTGGACACGAGTGGAGCTGGACATTGTCCCAACTGTCTTGTCCAATTGTCCAATGTCCCTGTGTCCTCAGCCCTGCAAGAGAGAAGAGGATAGCCTATTCACTCCCTTCACCAAGGAACCAAGGAAGAATCCCACCCGTCATTCTTAGTCATTCTACATCAGCTGTTGCACCCTCTTCCCTTTGTGTTGCGCTGAAATCTGTTTGCCCAAAAACAAAGGTCGCCTCAAACAAAGATCCTCCCCCTTCTACAATAGCTTTTGAAACTGATAAATCATTTAATCCTGTGCTAAATTACACTTTCGCTGTGGCTTTTAGATTTGGCTGGTGGCCCTGTCAGCGATTCTTTTCTGGGTTGTAAATGATTAGTGTATTGTATGGGTGGGGAGTAGGAAACTTAGTAGTAGAGAAATTAATGCCACCTTAAGGATTTGTGTCTACACTAGAACATATTGGATCATTAATAAAGACAGTTCTGAAAGAAGTTGGACAGTGCCTTGTAAATTAAAGATCTTGTACTCATTTATTTCCATATATTTGAGCAAAATGTGTCTTGCCCCAGTATAGATATATTGTATAAGCTGTTCTTGAGGTCAAAACATGTCTGCTGCGTGCTATCTGCATCTAATTATAAATCATTTTGCTGTCTGTTGACATGCTAGTTATTAGCATTAAAGGGACAGTCCATAATTTTGGACATAGGACCTCATTTCCTAGTTAGCCGGTGTGTTGGAGAAGTGTGGAGACACTTATATAAATATTCCAGTCCTTGTATTTGCAGAGGTCGTTGGGGCTAGGCTAGTGCATGTCAATGGCCATAGTTAGCCTGCCACTAAAAACAGTCTTACCCACTCCACAAAACACCCAAAGCAAATGTATTATTACTCCAGACTGTCGATGTAAATGTCTGTGTTGATAGAATAATTTTAGAAGTAAAACCAACTTTGCATGGAAGTATTTGTCTGAGCAACAGCAGCGAGTTGTACTTCATGATAGAAAGCTTGGCAGTGGTGGACTGATATCACCTAGCACCTGTCTTAGTGGCAAAGTAAAATTCCACTGCTGGTGAGAAAATAATCCCTCAACATGCAACGATTAATGCAATGCAATATTAGTTTTATTTCAATTATTCTATCAACACAGACATTTACATCGACAGTCTGGCGTAATAACAGATTTGCTTCAGGTGTTTTGTGGAGTGGGTAAGACATTGACATGCACTAGTCTAGCACCAGCGACCTCTGCAAACAGAAGGACTGGATGGAATATTTTAAAAAAGTGTCTCCACACATCTCCAACACTCCACCACACCAAATAAATAGGAAGGAATAAACCACCAACACTTAACCACACTGAATAAATAGGAAGCTCAGAATGCATAAGGTAGGTGAGTAATACCTTTGGACCACCATCTGATCTGTTATTCATTTTTTTAAGATGAGTAAGATTATTTTTTTCAATCTGATCCATATTAATTTCAGTAGAAACTGTTTTTGATGCTTGTGATCTAAAGATCATCAAGCAGTGCAGGCATTAAACAGTACTGGTCCTGTACTGGAGATCACTGCATTACCATGTGGCAAGGCTATTCCAAATAAACCAGGGACAATCTTCTTAACAGTTTTTCATATAGCTAACCACTCTGCCACTTTACATTTCAGATTCTGACATTGTTCTCAGCACCAGAGAATGCCAGATTAATCACATAGGCATGAATGATACAAAACAGCACACCAAACGTATGATTTAATGAGGTACATTATTAAAAAACTAAAGTAGAATGTCAATGTTTATGTTGGAAGTATCAAGTTTTTTTTAAAGAAACTCCAGTTTAAAAATTCACAAACTTGAACCTTCACATTGTGTAACCTTTCTGGTGAAGGGTCTGCCAAATGCTTGACTCCAGAGATGCTGTTGCTTTGAGTTTGTATCACCATGGAGACTGAACAGGACCATGTTACAGGTCAGATATGTGGAGAGGCAACCCTGCATACAGTCAGACGCCTGTTTTTCTAGGTGTTTTTGAACTCCAAAGCCATTAAATAAATGTAATGTAGTGCTGTGAAGCAGGTGACGGACTCCCAACCAAAAAGTTACATAGTGCACTTTTAACATTTTTTATTAGTTTGTGCCTGTATTTGTTTTATTAGAATCAGTGAGTCATTACCAAATTTAAATAACCATAAACCAGATCAAATCGTATCATGCATCTTCAAACTAATCTCCAAGCGAGACTAGACTGAAATGGGCGACACTATCACAATGTCCTGAGAGTCATGGTTACAGATGGTAAATAAAATTCTCGTGCCTCTTCTTACATCTCTCAACTTTTACTACTTCAAAGTATTCCACAATTCTAATATGTACCAGTAAGAAGAAACCAGTACCTCATGCTCGCTTAGTTCAATGTTTTTGAATCACTCCACACAAGTTTTTGCCAATAATCTGCCATTGTAAAGTGGGGTTCATGGAGGGCCAAGTGGCAAAGATCCAGGCACACGTTCTGGGAGATAAACAGACATGATGACAAATAGAGAGGAGAGGACGACAGATACAGAGGTGTATATGACAATCCGGCCAATCAGCAGACAGCAGAGGGTCACATGAGGTCAACACAACTGCATGTTTACGAGTAGAGGTGACAGTGATGGTGAAAGGAAGATTTGTGGATAATCTGTGAGGAGTTTTAAAGATTTGGATTGAGGGTTTCAAGATTAATCGAGTCAAAAACAGTTTGAACGGACGGGATCTGGCATATCACAAAGTACCATAATTTTCTCAGCAGTCTTCTTCTGCATAAAAACTGCGAACCGTGTAGTTTAGATCTGTGCAAACACGTTCTGAAATGAGATTCTTGTATTAGTCTGCTGGTTCAAATTTCAGTTTTTCGCAATGCTCGTCAGAAAAATTGCTATTCAATATTTGTTCACAAATCTCAAAGCCACATTTGGAAGGATGGGACAGCATATAACACCAGTAACTACAGAACAGATTTGTATATAAAAATTCAAACATTATGAGACTCTCTGCGCTGACTACCACCAGAAAATTAGTCTTTGTTGTAAGCTACTTTGGCTAAAAAGTTACATACTGTGGCTTTAGAGAAGTACTTGGATATATAGAAACATGTTTATTACATGTAAGATCTTTTACCAGATAGTACCTGTTAGGGATGTAACGATATCCAAATCTCACAGTACAATTTTCACGATATACTGTACATCTCACGGTACAATATTTATTGCAATATTTTGTGGAGGCTAACAAAATTGTGAATAAGATACTTTTTTTCTCTTAAAATGCCTTGACAAGACTCAATTCAAAGAACTAAGACTTCAAAGTGCTTAGAACTGCTATTTATTCATGTAGTTTGCCCCAAAACCCAGCAAAGGATCATGGTTGATGTAGTTCCCTCTGTTTTTTTTTTTTTTTTTTGGCTGTTGCTGCACCATAACAATGAATTTAAGCAAAGAGACTTGTGATTCGATATATTGTGATGGCCCACGATATTATTGAGAGACTTTTGACAATACAATATCATGATATTTTGGTTGTTACACCCCAAGTTCCTGTAGAGTAAAATCAGTCAACAGAAAATATTTTAAAGATATCATCTGTAAGTTTATTACAACTCATCTTACCTGGCCTTTGTTCAGACTCACCTGGGCCCTTTGGTGTTCTTCTATCACGGCAAAGCGGGCACACTATGAGACTGCAGAAATGTAGATAGCATCTTGTGGTTATATGTGAGAATACAACAGGGGTTGGTCGGCTTATCTAATTACAGATGGCAGGTTTAGTGCTTGTCTCCATGGAGATATTATTGCTTTGCCTAGATTGTTGCACAGTACATGAAACTTACATTCAATGAATTAGTGTTTTTACTGATAAAAAGTCTCTTGCGTCTCCACAAATTTGACCTTGTGACATTCTCCGCAGATATAGATAAGTGTAATTATATACTATGGAACGTTCCAGGCAAAAAATCCTTTAAAGGTTTAATCTCTTTTTTGCATGTACTGACAGAACCTTTTACCTTTTCTGAACTGCTTTTAAACTCCACAAATGTCACATTTGGTTGTGTTCCAGTTTGCCCTTGCCATAATCCCCACGTTTCTCTGATTATAGTCTCATGCAGCAGGAGAGTGGTGGCCCCACCGAGAGTCCTTCACTGCCCTGCACCACAAACACTGCTCTGAATGTGAAATAGGCTTGCTGTTTGTACAACACTGCCTGCAAACGATCATGTAAAATATGGAAAAGATGTTAAAGGTGCACTGTGTAACTTTTATGGAGAGGGTCTGCAATCATGGAGATGTTAATACTTTGGTTTAAATTGTCCACAGTATGGAATTAAACTCATCCCTCTTGCATTTATCCAACTATAGATGTAATTTATTGCTCAAAAATATCTTAAAAGGCATTAATTCTTACTGTGAGTGTGGTTGCCTTTCCACAAATCTAACTTGGAATTTGGCTTGCAAGTCTCCAGGGAGATTCTGGATCTGTGGAAGTACAGTATTAGCGACTCTTGAGGTCAAATAAGTCTGATGTGTGCTGTCTGCATCTAATTATAAAGCTGTCATTGCAAAACTACGCTTTACTCCGCTCTGTTGTGAAGTGACTATAAACTCACTGTGGTGAATAAAAAGGATGCTCTGAATGTGTGAGGAACAACTTTGGATCACTGCAAATTAGTTTTTCATGTTGTTATAACAAAATCCATTACAGTGCCTTTAATACATGCAACTTTCAAGGATTTCCCTAGTTTAAACCTGAGCTGGTGCAAAATCCTCTGTAGAATTCTATGGTGTAATTTGCTGTTTAACTGTCAAATTGCGGATTTGTTAACATGGTTTATGGATAATATCTCTGTCATTACTGGGCCTATCCACATGAAACTGTATCTTTGTCGGTTGAAATGAAATTAAGACATAAGATTAATTATGGGAAGTTTATAAAGCCAGTCCTTTACAAATAGGCTTCTGATAAGGTTCGACATTTGCTGGGTTTAGATATTTCATCC